ATGACAACTTTCTTATTTTGCTGTTTATCTTAAAATTACTGCCAGCTTTTATATAGACTGGGCTTTGGAGCTTGTCAATTATAGTACTGTAATTCAAATATTGTAGCTTGGGAGAGTGAAGATTTTGTTAAATGTGATCATGTCTAATGTGAGGCTTTGTGCAACTATGTTCTTTTGTATGTGTGTACTGAAGCTGTAAGGCAGGTAAATTCTCCAAGTGAGGTAAGATCCCACATGTAGCACTAACAAGGAATAAAAGAATACAAAATAAGAAAACTGTAAAAAAAAACTCAGTGCTGAATGAAAAATTCCTTTGTGAAAAAAATTAGTGTGATGAGAGATACAAATGAAGCAACTGACATTTACTAGAAAAGATTTATTCTACTGATATCACTGGTAAGTTTGTAACAGTAAGATACTCATAAGTGAGAACCTGACAATGGGCATAAACTGCGCAAGAGATAGTGAAAATTACTAAATAAATATAAAAGAAACATAGAAAACTGAATATAATAATGGTAACTAAATCTGTCTCATAAATATGCAAGATTACAGGTACGTCTTGCTACTTCTACTTACACTTAGGTCACACTACACATACATGGACACGTTTATTTATACACACTCATCTGAGTTTTCTTTGATTTTATCTTAATAGTTCTTGGTCTTATTACTTTTCCTTTTATATCCATGGGGAAGTGGAATAAGAATCTTTCCTCCGTAAGCCATGCGTGTTGTAAAAGTCAACTAAAATGCCGGGAACAATGGGCTAGTAACCCCTTTTCCTGTAAAGATTACTAAAAAGAATAAGAAGAAGAAAATTGTCAAAGTGGGAAGTCTGAATGTGCGTGGATGTTGTGCAAATGATAAGAAAGAGATGATTGTGGATGTTATGAATGAGAAGAAACTGGATGTTCTGGCTTTAAGTGAAACAAAGCTGAAGGGGGTGGGAGAGTTTCAATGGAGAGGAATAAATGGGATTAGGTCAGGGGTTTCAAATAGAGTTAGAGCTAAAGAAGGAGTAGCAATAATGTTGAAGGATAAGCTATGGCAGGAAAAGAGGGACTACAAATGTATAAATTCAAGGATTATGTGGAGTAAAATAAAGATTGGATGTGAAAAGTGGGTTATAGTAAGCGTGTATGCACCTGGAGAAGAGAGAAGTGTAGAGGAGAGAGAGAGATTCTGGGAAATGTTGAGTGAATGCGTGGGGAGTTTTGAATCAAGTGTGAGAGTAATGGTGGTTGGGGATTTCAATGCTAAAGTGGGTAAAAATGTTATGGAGGGAGTAGTAGGTAATTTTGGGGTGCCAGGGGTAAATGTAAATGGGGAGCCTTTAATTGAGCTATGTGTAGAAAGAAATTTGGTAATAAGTAATACATATTTTATGAAAAAGAGGATAAATAAATATACAAGGTATGATGTAGCACGTAATGAAAGTAGTTTGTTAGATTATGTATTGGTGGATAAAAGGTTGATGGGTAGGCTCCAGGATGTACATGTTTATAGAGGGGCAACTGATATATCGGATCATTATTTAGTTGTAGCTACAGTTAGAGTAAGAGGTAGATGGGAAAAGAGGAAGGTGGCAACAACAAGTAAGAGGGAGGTGAAAGTGTATAAACTAAGGGAGGAGGAAGTTAGGGCGAGATATAAGCGACTATTGGCAGAAAGGTGGGCTAGTGCAAAGATGAGTAGTGGGGGGGTTGAAGAGGGTTGGAATAGTTTTAAAAATGCAGTATTAGAATGTGGGGCAGAGGTTTGTGGTTATAGGAGGGTGGGGGCAGGAGGAAAGAGGAGTGATTGGTGGAATGATGAAGTAAAGGGTGTGATAAAAGAGAAAAAGGTAGCTTACGAGAGGTTTTTACAAAGCAGAAGTGTTATAAGAAGAGCAGAGTATATGGAGAGTAAAAGAAAGGTGAAGAGAGTGGTGAGAGAGTGCAAAAGGAGAGCAGATGAAAGAGTGGGAGAGGCACTGTCAAGAAATTTTAATGAAAATAAGAAAAAATTTTGGAGTGAGTTAAACAAGTTAAGAAAGCCTAGGGAAAGTATGGATTTGTCAGTTAAAAACAGAGTAGGGGAGTTAGTAGATGGGGAGAGGGAGGTATTAGGTAGATGGCGAGAATATTTCGAGGAACTTTTAAATGTTAAGGGAGAAAGGGAGGCGGTAATTTCATGCACTGGCCAGGGAGGTATACCATCTTTTAGGAGTGAAGAAGAGCAGACTGTAAGTGTGGTGGAGGTACGTGAGGCATTACGTAGAATGAAAGGGGGTAAAGCAGCTGGAACTGATGGGATCATGACAGAAATGTTAAAAGCAGGGGGGAATATAGTGTTGGAGTGGTTGGTACTTTTGTTTAATAAATGTATGAAAGAGGGGAAGGTACCTAGGGATTGGCGGAGAGCATGTATAGTCCCTTTATATAAAGGGAAAGGGGACAAAAGAGATTGTAAAAAATTATAGAGGAATAAGTTTACTGAGTATACCAGGAAAAGTATACGGTAGGGTTATAATTGAAAGAATTAGAGGTAAGACAGAATGTAGAATTGCGGACGAACAAGGAGGTTTCAGAGTGGGTAGGGGATGTGTAGATCAAGTGTTTACATTGAAGCATATATGTGAACAGTATTTAGATAAAGGTAGGGAAGTTTTTATTGCATTTATGGATTTAGAAAAGGCATATGATAGAGTGGATAGAGGAGCAATGTGGCAGATGTTGCAAGTATATGGAATAGGTGGTAAGTTACTAAATGCTGTAAAGAGCTTTTATGAGGATAGTGAGGCTCAGGTTAGGGTGTGTAGAAAAGAGGGAGAATACTTCCCGGTAAAAGTAGGTCTTAGACAGGGATGTGTAATGTCACCATGGTTGTTTAATATATTTATAGATGGGGTTGTAAAAGAAGTAAATGCTAGGGTGTTCGGGAGAGGGGTGGGATTAAATTATGGGGAATCAAATTCAAAATGGGAATTGACACAGTTACTTTTTGCTGATGATACTGTGCTTATGGGAGATTCTAAAGAAAAATTGCAAAGGTTAGTGGATGAGTTTGAGAATGTGTGTAAAGGTAGAAAGTTGAAAGTGAACATAGAAAAGAGTAAGGTGATGAGGGTATCAAATGATTTAGATAAAGAAAAATTGGATATCAAATTGGGGAGGAGGAGTATGGAAGAAGTGAATGTTTTCAGATACTTGGGAGTTGACGTGTCGGCGGATGGATTTATGAAGGATGAGGTTAATCATAGAATTGATGAGGGAAAAAAGGTGAGTGGTGCGTTGAGGTATATGTGGAGTCAAAAAACGTTATCTATGGAGGCAAAGAAGGGAATGTATGAAAGTATAGTAGTACCAACACTCTATATGGATGTGAAGCTTGGGTGGTAAATGCAGCAGCGAGGAGACGGTTGGAGGCAGTGGAGATGTCCTGTCTAAGGGCAATGTGTGGTGTAAATATTATGCAGAAAATTCGGAGTGTGGAAATTAGGAGAAGGTGTGGAGTTAATAAAAGCATTAGTCAGAGGGCAGAAGAGGGGTTGTTGAGGTGGTTTGGTCATTTAGAGAGAATGGATCAAAGTAAGAATGACATGGAAAGCATATAAATCTATAGGGGAAGGAAAGAGGGGTAGGGGTCGTCCTCGAAAGGGTTGGAAAGAGGGGGTAAAGGAGTTTTGTGGGTGAGGGGCTTGGACTTCCAGCAAGCGTGCATGAGCGTGTTAGATAGGAGTGAATGGAGACGAATGATACTTGGGACCTGACGATCTGTTGGAGTGTGAGCAGGGTAATATTTAGTGAAGGGATTCAGGGAAACCGGTTATTTTCATATAGTCGGACTTGAGTCCTGGAAATGGGAAGTACAATGCCTGCACTTTAAAGGAGGGGTTTGGGATATTGGCAGTTTGGAGGGGTATGTTGTGTATCTCTATACGTATATGCTTCTAAACTGTTATATTCTGAGCACCTCTGCAAAAGCAGTGATAATGTGTGAGTGTGGTGAAAGTGTTGAATGATGATGAAAGTATTTTCTTTTTGGGGATTTTCTTTCTTTTTTGGGTCACCCTGCCTCGGTGGGAGACGACCGACTTGTTGAAAAAAAAAAAAAAAAAAAAAAAAAAAAAACTAAATCAATGAGTTATCAGTGTGATAGAAACTCACTTCTACTACCCTTACAATAGCCATCCTTGCCAACAATTTTAATAGCCACTTTACATTATTAAACATAATTTTATGTACTGATGTTTGTGTTAGAAAATTAATGATTTCCTTGACAGTGATTACATTCAGATACTAAACCATTAATTTTTGTATAAAGGCACATTCAAGGCATCTTTATTATATTTGAGTGCTTGCCAAGAAAATAGTTTCATATTGCATCTACAAGAGCAACTACACTTATATGCCCAAATTCATTCATCTTTCATTGTTGTTTAAATGTTCTGCCACTTTCTTGTTTCCTAATCTCAGTTGCTCTATGCTGCAGCTGCTCGAAGTTTCTTCTTTATCAACTGTACATTTAGTAAAATTAATAAGAGGTCCCTTATATTCTCTGCATGTCAAGTGATGTGACCAATATGGAGATAGCAACTGGAATCCTCATCAACACACAACTCACGAGGGTACTACCAGTAAACACCTCAGTCATGAAGGCATGCATACACGTTCCACTTTATCTAACGTGCAATTAGTTCAGAGTAAAAGACCAATAGATAAATGGAACAAGTATTGGAGTCACCTGCTACTTGAAAAGTTGAAGACGTTTCTTGAGTGATGCCAAATAATGAATCAACTAGGACTTGAATCAATAGGTTTCAGGCATGAGGTACTGTACTGTATTACTGCAACAAAACTCATGATTAGCTATGTACAATAGTATAAAATTCACATTTTTGCTGTGATGTCAAAGGTTTTTCAAAATTACTGCACTTTTTTTTTAATAGCTATAGCAAATGACCCCTCCCTCTATTGCATCCCTTCCCCCTCCCCCCAAAAAAATAAAGGTTAGGGTACCAGTTGATTAGACAATTTTATTTACCAAAACAGAGCATGAATTAGCAGGCTTTGACTTCAGAAAATCAATTAAGAATTTAGGAAATGTAGCACAGTTCACAATATACTAAAATCTTTACCATTTTCATTTCTACACAAGCACTTTATACAGTAGTCCCCCCCGTATCCTTGGAGGATAAGATCCAAGACCTACCGTGGATACCTGAAACTGTGGATAGTAGTGAACCCTATATACAAATCATTTTTTTGTTTACATACATCCCTATGATAAAGTTTAACTGATAAATTAAGCCAAAGTCTAGAATTAGTACTTTTTCACTGATGGAAAGCATTTCACGGCTTTTCTTAGGCTCTGAAGAGCTGCCAACGTCATACTTTTGTGCTTTGGGGCCATTATTAAGCAAAATTAAGTTTTTTTTTGGACCACAGAAAACTGTGGATAACCGAGACCGAGGATACAGAATCCGTGGATACGGGGGTCCTACTGAATACTATAATACTAATATTTTTTAATTTACCGTAAAAAATGAATTACATATCACATTTCTTTTTTATCAGTGCATGTACTGGTTATTATGAAAATTATGATTAAAATATAATCCTTTATGAGTATTTTTTATGCCTCAGTAAAGGAAAAGTAATGACTGAGAAAGCTGCTTGTGCTAAGCTACTTTTCTTCCATAAATTAACTCATCACAGTAGTACTACCACTGATTATATCTGCATATTTAGCTAACTTGTCAAGCAACCCTTTTTTAAAGACACTGACATCCAGAAATTTATACAACCACAAGCCCTCACGAAATATTTTCTGTGTTTTAGTCACAAAATGCTATACATATCACAAACTAACACATGCACACCAATCTGAGAAAATGAACAGGATCTTCGGCAGGTAGCAGTGTAACGTATGCAGTTAAATCAACGTGAGTATGGCTTCCTTAGTGTGAGAGTAACTCAGTATCAACCTGATAGATACCATTTGTGTGTCTCTGGACAGCAGTGAGAGCTAGAACAGCTGCTCTTGTGTCTGTCATCACATCTCCAGTTAAACTTACATCATCCTCTTTATCTTCATTTAAGTCTGTACTGGAGGTATCAACCAAGCAAAGAGATTCATCATCATCATCATCATTTTCCTGACAGTCAAAAGACACATTCTCCCTGAGCATTGTGGGCTTGTTATCACAGACATTTTCTTGAACTTTAGTATGCCCTTCTGCTGCCAGGGATGAATGGTGCTCTGCATCTACAGAGGGGCACTCACTTGCGGCATCTGAGAGTACATGGTTAGTTGCACATGCTTCATGGTTGCTTTCTTCAGTACCATCCATCAGAGGACCAACAACAGCAAAGACAGTGTCACTGTAATCTGAAAAAATTACTGCACCTTGAGTATTATATGGATAATAACAAAATTTATGTTGATGTAATATCAAAAGATATAGCATGATTACAGTTTTGACAAAAACAGTATTTTCAAGTTTTGTCAGTACTGTGCAGAAATCATGGTAAACGTTTTTGTTTCATGAGAATATAAATCTCCCTTTCACTTCAAGTAATTAAGTGACCAACAGTTCCTATCTATACGATTATAAATTAAAATCTAGGATCTACTTAAGTTGTACTTATCAATACTGAGTAACAGTAATTTGACAATACTATGACACTCATTTAATTTCAAGCCTAAATATAATAAAAATTCTAATGCAAACTATACAGTGTGAAGCCCCTCTATTTTAACCATTATCACATGCTCACTGTACTGTACTCTACATTACCCTAGCTATGGTAAATGCATATATCTGGCATTTCTTCTATTTTCTTAATAGCTCTTTCTTCTTTCTTTATTTCCTCTTATCTTCATGGGGAAGTGGGAAAGAATTCTTCCTCTGTAAGCCACACGTGTTGTAAGAGGCAACTAAAATGCCAGAGCAAGGGGCTAGTAACCCCTTCTCCTGTATAAATTACTAAATTTAAAAAAAGAAAAGCTTTTTGGTTTTCTTTTTAGGTCACCCTGCCTGGGTGGGATACAGACAGTTTGTTGAAAAAAAATAAAAATGCAACAGGAGGTTGGCCAATAACAACCATCAAGATTAGATCATAATAAGTAAGATTACCTTTTTTTTTTTTGGAGCAAAACAATTACAGACATAGGCAAGAAAACAATGTAGGCAAAACATACACAGGAACATGTTACAAAGCCCATATCATTATAAACATTTTGACCAAGATTTAATGTAATAGTTAAAATTATATTAAATATGTTCAAAGAGTTCTCCATGGGGAAGTGGAACAGAATTCTTCCTCCGTAAGCCATGCGTGTCGTAAGAGGAGACTAAAATGCCGGGAGCAAGGGGCTAGTAACTCCTTCTCCTGTATTTATTACTAAATTTAAAAAGAGAAACTTTCGTTTTTCTTTTTGGGTTACCCTGCCTCGGTGGGATACGACCGGTTTGTTGAAAAAAAAAAAAAATGTTCAAAGAGTCTAGGTAGTAGGTTGGTAGACAGCAACCACCCAGGGAGATACTGCCGTCCTGCCAAGTGAGTGTAAAACAAAAGCCTGTAATTGTTTTACATGATGGTAGGATTGCTGGTGTCCATTTTTCTGTCTCATAAACATGCAAGGTTTCAAGTACGTCTTGCTACTTCTACTTACACTTAGGTCACACTACACATACATGTACAAGCATATATATACACACCCCTCTGGGTTTTCTTCTATTTTCTTACTAGTTCTTGTTCTTGTATATTTCCTCTTACTTCTATGGGGAAGTGGAACAGAATTCTTCCTCCGTAAGCCATGCGTGTTGTAAGAGGCGACTAAAATGCCAGAAGCAAGGGCCTAGTAACCCCTTCTCCTGTATATATTACTAAATGTAAGAGGAGAAACTTTCGTTTTTCCTTTTGGGCCACACTGCCTCGGTGGGATATGGCCAGTGTGCTGAAAGAAAGAGGTTCAAAGAGATAAAAGTTAAAACAGTGTTGACCCCTATAAGGAGAAAAAAGCTAAATATTGAGGAAAAACCTAGGTAGTAGGTTGATAAACAGCAACCACCCATGGAGGTACTACCGTCCTGCCAAATGAGTATGAAACGGAAACCTGTAATTGTTTTACATGATGGTACGACTGCTGGTGTCTTTTTTCTGTCTCATAAACATGCAAGGTTTCAGGTACGTCTTACTACTTCTACCTACATTTAGGTCATAGTACACATACATGTACAAGGATATATATACAGTAGGGCCCCACTTTATGGCGTTTCGCTTTACGGCGTTCTGCTAATATGGTCATTTCAAATTATGACCAAAACTCGCTATACGGCTCCCCCCACCTGACTTTCTAATACGGTCACCGCGCGCCCACCCGGTTTGTTTACATTCTCTGTGAGATCAGTAATACCTAAGTCTCTCCATTATGTCTGGAAACTCCAAAATTTTAAGTGTTTTTAAAAGTTATTTCATATTTTATATATACTCTGATAATAATACTTATGTATACCTGTACTTAAATAAACTTACATACTGTGCTGGCATGCAGGTACACATTAAAATCAGTAAGTGTTTTTTATATCTCCAGACATATTAGTAATAATAATAATAACTGAGTCTCATTTAAATGTTGTATATTACGTTATGAGATGTGGTAGCAGACGACTTGCACAAGTGACGCCATATTAGAAATAATAATAATAAAAATCACCGAGTCTCATTAAATGTCGTATATTACGTTAATATACACATTTTCATTAATCCATCCATGATATTTTTTTAAAAATTTTGTAATAAACATGATACATAACATATAAAGATGATAAATACACCCCACAATAGAATAAATAAATATAAATATGAGATGTGGTAGCCAGATAACTTGTACAAGTGATGCCAAGAAAAACACTTTCTCTAGTCTAACATAAGAGAAAATGTGTTACTGGGGGTAACTGTACAAAATTATTCCTTTCGTATGTATGTAAGTTTATTCAGGTATACACAAATACAGTTACATAGATTATCATACATAACAGCATATGTGTAGAGAACCTGGGATAGCCCAAAAAAGTCAGAGTGACTTATTTCCATTGCCTTCACTCAGAGCATCATTTCTTCTCAAAATGATGTTACATGAGAATGGGAGTGTTCTTCTTTATTTATTCTACCGTATCAATGTAGAGACAACTTGTACACAATGTAACTTGTACACAAACCAGACATGTACACTGTTTGTTTACAAACTTACCTTCGTCTAGTTTGTTTACATAACTCGGCGCCTGTCCTCTCTCATGCACTCATTCTCTCTCTCATTTATTCGTTTTATCTTATTTACTTACTCCTGACCATACATTAAGACTACAAATATTTTAAGGTAAGTAATGAGTGAACTGTACATACATTTTATCGCTCTGGGATGCTTAAATATCATAGAATATATGTGTGGGTGGGTTGGCCTGGTATGGTAGCCTGGCTGATTACCATACATACCACACTTGATTTTTTACAATAAATACTACTCATCTCACCCTAGATTAAGACTACAAATATTTTAAGGTAAGTAATGAGTAAATTGTATATGTATTTTATTGCTCTGGGATGATTAAATGTAATAGAATATTATTTGTAGGTGGCGTGGCCTGGTATAGTAGCCCGGCTGACTACCATACATACCACACTTGATTTCTTACAATAAATACTACTTGTCTCACCCTAGATTAAGACTATAAATATTTTAAGGTAAGTAACGAGTGCACTATGTGTGTATTATACTTTTTTGTTGATTTTTGATGACTAGTTATATTGCTAACTTAATATATGTTAGTGTAAACTGGTTATCTAGTATTTGTATGCATTTATAAATGGAAAAAAAAGGGTGTCCCACTTTATGGCGATTTTCGCTTTTCAGTGGTAGCCTGGAACCTAACCTGCCGTATAAGTGGGGCCCTACTGTACACACCCCTCTGGATTATCTCCTATTTTCTTACTAGTGCTTGTTTATTTCCTCTTATCTCCATGGGAAAGTGGGACAGAATTTTTCCTCCGTAAGCCATGTGTGTCGTAAGAGGTGACTAAAATGCCAGGAGCAAGGGGCTAGCAACCCCTTCTCCTGTATACATTACTCAATTTAAAAAGAGAAACTTTCGTTTTTCTTTTAAGGCCACCCTGCCTCAGTGGGATATGGCCAGTCTATCGAAAGAATAAAGAATAATTGAGGAAAAACCATTTTCTGTGTAAAGTTCAGTGAATTACTAGGAATAATGCTTAAAAGATTTAACTTCCTTTACACCAGTATAAGAACTTTTCTAGGAATAATGCTACAAAGAATTAACCTGCTAAACACCACTATGAGAACATTCCTAATACTTTTAGCCCAGTATGCTTCCTAACCATTTTCTCTACTGGAGTTCATTTTTTATTTCTGTAGACCCAATGATCTGGCTGAAAGATCCACTCATAACCTGAGGCAGAACAGCTGACAAAGGAAGTGACCTTTGAGGCTTATTGAACTGTGCACAGAGTAATTTTTATAAAGAACACAAAGGCACAATACCATGATTGGAACAACACACAAATAACTCGCACATAAGAGAAACAAACTTTGACGACATACTTGTCCGGACCTGAATGTTGTCATAAAGTTTCTTTCTCCTATGTACAGGTTATTTGTGTAAGTTTTATACAATACAGTACCTGTTTCTTGAAAAGTGGATGTTAAATCTAGCAATGGAGCATCTTCCCTCTCCTCCATGCTGTCCTCCTCACTCGAGTCAGTGACTGCAGATAACAATGGCACATCTTGGATGTCTGGGGGTGGTGCTGGATCCTGTGAAATCATAAATACTTAAAACTTGCTAATATTCACTGAATATGCAAACACAAATAAACTTGAATGTATGTATTGGCAATTTGGGTCCAATTAGATATTTAAGAACGTGAACATGAGGAAGTGGGACAGAATTCTTCCTCCATAAGCCATGCGTGTTGTAAGAGGCAACTAAAATGCTGGGAGCAAGGGGCTAGTAACCCCTTCTTCTGTATAAATTACTAAATTTAAAACTAATTTTTTATTTAGTCACCTGCCTCGATGAGATATGGCTGGTTTGTTAAAAAAAAAAAAAAATTACAATACTCATCAAATGTTTAAAGTACATATATCACCTAGCATTCACTTTTTTTGTAACCACCATCTAAAGATACTAAAACATATTTAATTGCCTGTATAAGTTACTAAATTTAAAAAGAGAAACTTTCATTTTTCGTTTTTCTTTGGTGGTATACGACCGGTTTGTTGGAAGATGATTAGCAGTTTTATTTTTTCATGAAGAAATGGCATGTTAGGATTATTATTAGTCATTTGGAAAAGCTAAATCTGTAGAGGTTAAACAGTGCTAGAGAATGGGAGGTGTGTGAGGTAATCGAGTTTCATTTGAGGCAGGGGGACAGCTCCAATTCCTTGGATCAAGATCTCTGTATCAGCATCAAGAGAGACTAGGAGCCACTTGTGTGACACACATGGTGAGAAGGCTAAACTACATAAATATTAATTTGTAACCTTCATGTCCTTATTAAAGACAATGAATTTCTGTAAGCAGAATATAACCTAATGGTTACTCTATTGTAAAACAAATATTAAGCAGGTTCTGTGACTTATCACCTTAAATTGCTTGTCACCTAAATTATTTTTAGCACATCACTGAAAGGATCTGAAAACTCCTTCCACTTTTGCTCACTATAAAAAGTTAAGAACCTAAGAACACCATCAATATCAACAACAATGCTAACAGTATCATCATCATTACAGAGAACAAACAATAATAAAGTAGTATATACAATATTTAAACTTTCATTTTTTTTCTTTTGGGCCACCCTGCATCAGTGGGATACGGCCAGTTTGTCAAAAGAAAAAAGATACAGCACTTGTCCGAGATTAATTATTAAAAGCAGGACAAGTTGATGCTTCTGCTAGTTTCTAAAAGTACCAGTTACAATTCAATCCAAGGATAGCTACTGCAGAGATATCAGTGAATTTCCATGAAGGTGATCAATACACCATACAAACCTGGCCACAGTACATACCTGTGAGTCTGGAACCAACACTGGGAGGAAGTTGCCAACCTTAGCTCTCTCCTCTCGCTCTTTTTCTTCACTGCTGCATCTACCTCCTGCTCCATAACTCCCTACTGGACCAATAAGATAATCACTTTTATTTCCTCTCTCAGGATCAGCACTACTGAATCTATGAATAAAAAAAATGGATTTGTAAAAAAAAAAAAATTAAGTTAGAGCCCTTTACTTAATTCTTCTCATTAAACATGTGAAAACTCTTTTAAACCAAAATTCTCCATCAACCAAGAAACTATGATCTAGGACACTATAATAAAGTACATGTACTATATCCAGTGAAATCTACTAAAAGCTAGACATTAAAAACAAAAAAAAATGACATTTGCCAACAAGTAAAGCTGTAAGAAGCAGCTGTGCTTTTCTTGTTCATAATCTCTTACCCCACGTGAGACTAGAGCAGAAACTTGAGGTGTAGGCAGAAATAACAAGGAATGTATTCCACAGGCTTAAGGAGTACCTCAGGAAAAGGAAGCAAAGAATGACTGTTCAAGAAGAGATGTCAGAATGAGGAAGAGTAATAAGGAGTCTGCATGGGTGAGTATTAAGACCAGTACTGTTTCTGGTTTATGTGAGCAAAAAACCAGATAGGACTGCATCAGATGTATTCCTGTTTCTCCATGGGGAAGTAGAACAGAATTCTTCCTCCGTAAGCCACACGTGTAGTAAAAGGCGACTAAAATACCGGGAGCAAGGGGATAATATCCCCTTCTCAAGTATATATTACTAAATTTAAAACGAGAAACTTTGGTTCTTCCTTTTGGACCACCCTGCCTTGGTGGGATATGGTGGTTTGTTGAAAGTAGTAGTTGTATTACTATTTGCTGATGATGTAAAACTAATAAGAATAAAAACATAAGAGGACAGGGAAAGCTACAAATGGATCTGGACAAGCTGCAGGACTAGTCTAATAAGGAGCTGCTTGAATTCACCCCCACCCAATGCAAAGTTATGAAAATTGGGTAAGGGATCAGAAAAGTGCACATGTAGTACAGACTCAGGGGTAACAGAGGCTGCAGACCTCACTCAGAGTGACCTAGGGGTGAGCATAGTGCTTAGTTTATTGCCAAAGGATCACAACAAACAAATAACCTCTACAGCCCATGCTTCCCTGGCAAATCTAACAGCAGCCTTCAGGAATCTCAACAAAGGCATTTCAAGCCCTTCATACGATATATGCAACACCTGTGTAGAACCCACACCTGAGAAAGCATGTTAAGAAACTGGAAAAGGTTCATGTATGGAACGAAACTAGTTCCAGAAATAAGGAGTATGAGCTATGAAGAGAGGCTAGCAGAAATGAATCTAACTCTAGAGAACAGAAGGGCCAGGGAAGACATGATAACAGTAAACAAAAATGCTCATAGGAAGTGATAGGGTAGACAGAGTAAGGCTGATTGAGTCAACAAACATGTACTCAAGAGCGCAACTGGAAGTTAATGATGCAGATGAGCCACAGGGCATATTTCTTCAGTCTCAGAGTGGTCAGGAAGTGGAATAACCTCCTTTAAGAGGTGGTGGAGGCAGGCTCCATACATAATTTTAAAAGCAGGTATGCTACAGCCCATGAGGCTAGGAATCTGGCAAACAGCCAATTGAGAGGCTGGGCTAGGAACTAAGACTTGACTCCTGCAGCTAAAATGAGCACAAAAAGGCGAGTGCAAACTGCATCCTAATTATGTGCAGAAATCCTCATACCTGTAAAACTTGCTCTTCGAGATGCATTTCCCAATCCAGCATCATATGGATGTAAAGAGTGAAGAGCTCCTTGACTCTGATGTGGAGTAGGTAAAGGAGGTAATATGCCCTCTGGAAGTGCTGGAGGACGTCGTCTGTGTCGCCTCCAATGCCTACTTAAACTACCTCCAAACAGTCTGCAAGTAGTGGCAATAATTACTGTTTAATGCATACAACACACTTTTAAAAATACAGTAGTCCCCCCGTATCTATGGGGGATGCGCTCCAAGACTTACCGTGGATAGTAGCAAATCCTATACAGTGGACCCTCGGTTTTGTCATTAATCCATTCCAGAAAGATCGGCAAAAACTGAAACCATTTTCCCCATAAGAAATAATGTAAATCTAATTAATCCATTCCAGACACCCAAAAGTATTAACAAAAAAATTTTTTTTTAAGGTTAAGTATAGATTTACATGCAGGAAAGAATGAACATTCAACATGACACTTACCTTCATTGAAGACTCTTGGTGTATGGAAGACACGGAGGATGGGAGAGGGAAGAGAAGTTATTCTTTGGAAGGGGAATCCCCCTCCATAAGGACTCTAGGTACCAAATCCTTATCTGGGGTCACTTCCCTTCTTTGTCTTTTACTGCCACTAGGACCAGCTTGAGAGTCACTGGACCCCTGTCACACAAAAAATTGGCCCAGAAAGCTGTGTTTCTGGCATCTCTTTAAATTTCCCTAAAATGGGACATGGCATTGTCATTCCTCCACAAATGTTTGCACCCTACGCCACATTGCACAAATCACTACCATCCTCTACCACCATCACAACTGCTACCACCCTCTACCACCACCACAACCACAACCACCCTCTACCACTATCACAACCACCCTCTACCACCATCACAACCACTATAATCCTCTACCACCACCACAACCACTACAACCCTCTACCACCATCACAACCACTATCACCCTCTACCACCATCACTACCACCCTCTACCACCATCACAACCACCCTCTACCACCATCACAACCACTACAACCCTCTACCACCATCACAACCACTCTCACCCTCTACCACCATCACAATCAGTACCACCCTCTACCACCACCACTTTTGTATTTTTTCTACAATCTTTTTCTTTAATTCTACGGTGTTCCTCACTTTCTTTACCAAAGGACTGGCACTAG